TTATTACCATGGCGGAGGAGTAGACTGTCTTCAGCATCTTGCCATTTCTCCTGTGCTGAACTATGTCGAAATGTCGACTTGTGTCTGTGATATTTTTTAGACTTCAACCCCATTACTCCAATTAAAATGCTAGCTGATATCTAGTATGTCTATGTTGACTTGTTTGAGATACGTCTCACTTTGACATTCACATGAAAATGTTCCGTGGATTAACTCCCTGCTTTGCCTCGTCCAATGAGAGGCCACCAAATATAAGCCTGGTCTAGGTAGGGCTAAGCTCCCCTGTTGCTAAGACCGCGATCAAGACAAGCCGAGGCATTCATTCCTCAGCGCCCTGGTGGTCATTCGGCCAGGGCACGACAGACTTGGGACTCGAGATGATTAATCCTATGCTGACCGTCTGTCTCTCTGCTTGTTTCAACCTGTTTGAAACTTCTCTTCACCAGGACAGCACCGTCTCTTGACATCTTCTGTACCCGCCATAGCATTCTTGTCTCGTGTATTATTACCAGCTTTCCCCAATCGTAACCTAGTCCAACGCCACTCCGCGATCCCTCCTCATCCGGCCGCTACCATGGCCATCGAGGTCCCGTCCAAGACCTTCACGCGCGAGGAGGTCGCCAAGCACAACACCGAGGACTCGGTGTGGTTCGTCATCGACTCGGTTGTCTACGATGTGTCTGACTTCGTCGACGCCCACCCAGGCGGCGAGGCCGTCCTGCGCCAGGTCGCCGGCACCGATGCTACGAGCGACTTCTACAACCTGCACCGCCACGAGGTGCTCGTCAAGTACGCCGACCTCGCCATCGGCACCCTCGCCGGCGAGAAGCCCAGCGTCATCACCCCCAAGCCCGGCGACCTGTCACTCGTCCCCTACGCCGAGCCCCTGTGGCTCACGCCCTCGTTCCGAAGCCCCTACTACAAAGACAGCCACCGGCGGCTGCAGCGTGCGATCCGCGAGTTCACAGAACTGTACATCACCCCCGAGGCGCAGGAGAAGGAGCGCGATGGCACGCACATCAGCCAGGGCTTGATTGACCGCATGTCCAAGGCGGGTATCCTGCACATGCGTCTCGGTCCGGGCAAGCACCTGCAGGGCGTGGAGCTTCTCGGCGGCGCTGTTGAGCCGAAGGAGTTTGACTACTTCCACGACCTCATCATGGCACAGGAGATGGTGCGCGCCAACGCGAGAGGCTTCCAGGACGGCAGCCTGGCAGGAATGGTCATTGGCCTGACCGCCGTCTTGAACTTTGCCAATGACGAGAAGTTCAAGAAGAAGATCTCGGATGAGGTGTTCAGCGGGAAGAAGAAGATTTGCCTGGCCATCACAGAGGCATTTGCTGGAAGCGACGTCGCCAGGTTACGCACAACTGCAGTTAAAACCCCTGATGGCAAACACTATATCGTCAACGGAACAAAGAAGTGGATCACGAATGGTGTGTTTTGTGATTATTTTGTGACAGGGGTCCAAACTGATAAGGGGTTGAGTGTGCTTCTAATCGAGCGAGGTGAGGGCATAGAGACAAAAGCAATTAAAACCTCTTATTCTGCGGCAGCAGGGACAACATACATCACCTTTGACAATGTCAAGGTCCCAGTCGAGAACCTGCTTGGAAAGGAGAACCAGGGCATCTACGTCATCCTCAGCAACTTCAACCACGAGAGATGGACCATGGCCTGCGCGACGATCCGCTACAGCCGGACCGTCGTAGAGGAGTGTCTCAAGTGGGCACACCAGAGACTGGTGTTCGGGAAGCGCCTCATCGATCAGCCGGTGATTCGACTAAAGCTCGCCAAGATGATTGCGCTCGTGGAAGCAAACCAGTCTTGGCTGGAGACCATCACCTACCAGATGTGCAACATGCCGTACTCCGAGCAGGCCAAGTTTCTCGGCGGTCCGATAGGTTTGCTCAAGATGAGCTGTACGCGAGCAGCTCACGACATTGCCGATGAGTCTGTTCAGATCTTCGGTGGACGGGCGTTGACCCAGACAGGCATGGGGCGCGTGGTTGAGAATTTCCAAAGGACGTACAAGTTTGATGCAATCTTGGTGAGTTAAGCCCGTGCAGGTCCCCCCGAGGCCGCGGCCCAAAATTCAGATATGAACACATACTGATCTGTCCGCTAGGGTGGTGCTGAAGAAGTCTTGGGCGACCTTGGCGTTAGGCAGGCAATGAAGTTCATGCCGAAGGCAATGTTGTAAGATACTAAAGGGAGTGCCCATCATCCTATGTTAGAGGTAGCTTTAGTTTGCATTCTCGACATCTTTGGCCAGGCTATAGGTACCTAAGTAACCTACACTGTAGAACGCAGCACTGTCAACAGAGACTACATAATTGCATACAAATATCACATCGCATCGTCGCTTCAGGTGAGCGAGGGCGAAATTTCCATCACTCAAGTTCATTAGACAAAATGTGCCAAGTCAGGTTTTAATCATTGAGGTTTCTAGAGAGACCCTATCATCCGTTATGATCCATTCCTAGCATTTACCCACCAAAGCCCGTGTATCGTCGTGAGAGTGCTGTAACATGTCGAATTTATTCGACGAAAATGAGCAAGCAAAACAAATGGGTAGGTCAAATGTTTGAAGGCCGAGGCATTCCTGAACTCCAAGGACCTGTAGACTTTTTTCCCAGAAGCAAAACGATGTGTGCATGGGGGCTTTTATCGTGACGACTGAAATGCAATAAGCGATGTTGTAAAAGGAGAAACCAGAGCCCATGATATCCAGACGACCACCGTTGATCCGACCAAGCTGGCGTGGATGCCCGACGCCTGCGCGCAGGGGCTGTCCACAAGAAACGAATTGTATAGTCGTGCAAAGGTCTTTCCTCGTCAACAAAGATGCCTCAACTAGAAATCTAGGTGAGACCATCGTCCATCAAAGTACTCTCTTGGCGAAAGACCTATGTCCCAGGTCGCGCGATAGCCGTCTGCCTAGGGTGGGCAGCTTAGGCATTGGGGCACTCAGCCTGGACGTGACCGGGCTGCTGGCACTTGTAGCAGATCTTTTCTCCGGTCGAAGAACCCTTGGGGCAGTCGCGAGAGAAGTGGCCGGTCTCGCCACAGTTGTAGCACTTGGAGCCGTTGACACAGTCACCTAAAGCCGTTAATACAAAGTGTGGGCGAGCGAGAGAAGCAACACATACGTGACATGTGTCCAATACCACCACAAGAGTAGCAAGTCTTCTGGCTACCGCCACCGTAGCCTCCGCCGAAGCCTCCACCACCGCCGCCACCGCTGTAGCCACCACCGAAGGAGGACGGGCAGTTGCGGGCAATATGGCCCTTCTCACCGCACTGATGGACTCAAATTAGCTATAGCCGGGTCGGAAAGCAACGGTTCACTTGCCTTGTAGCATTCCTGACCACCACCGCCGCCGCCGCC